CTAGTAGTATGGCCAGGAGCCCCTAGTAGCGTCCTTGCTCCTAGTAGCGATGCCCTTTGTTCCTAGTAGCTTCTTGCTCCTCCTAGTAGCGAACCTTGTTACTATCGGGACATAATGGCAGCCGTGGAATTTAAACATGCACATACAAGAGGCCTGGATCGTACAAATCCCATCCATCATCTTGCTGGCTTCCCCCCCCAGCGGCTGCCTTGGCACATTTCTTTGATTATGCATCCTGCATGGTCGACTGCACACACAATATGGCAATATATGATAGCAATATGAATGTGCAATATAAAGTGCTTTTTAACCATTCCAACTCACAATCAACAGTGACGGCAAAGGTGGAGAAGCAGGCTAAACCAGGCCACAGCAGAATTCCATCTCTAAGGTCAGCCAAGAGACGTATGCAAATGCAAACAAGGCCTGCAAAAGAAGAGAAAAGTGCTTGCGAGGTGGGTGAATGACAATGGGTTTCATATGGTTTAATATATTTCAACATGGTGCAATCTTACTTAGCCAAAAAAAAGAACCAGTTGGCTTGCAACCTGTTCGCTAGCTAAACCGCAGCCTGGTGGCCCGGTGGGGTCACGAACGGCTGAAGCCAGGTTCCGGTGTGTAAACCAACGCCACGACGAGCAATTTGGCGGATCGTGAGCACTTTTGGGGGGTTCAAACTCTCAACAACTGCCAGTCGTCAGGGGGACGGATGTGCTTGTGCCCCTGTTTTTCTATGTGTTTCTTTCATGCTTCCAAGCCCACTCTGCACAAATTAGATTGAAGGCTTCGCAGGGTTCGATCCTAGGCAACACGCCAAGTGGGAAGGACTGACAAAGTAATGCAAGGAGCTCAAATGGCGGAAATACTACAAATATTATGGCATCTCAGGGACGGTCAACATCTGTTGTAATGCTCCGTACTATACCAACCATAACAACCTGTTCATACCTGTTCGACCTTTTGGAAGCTACATGTTTGCTTTTGTGGTGCTTCAATTCTGGTCTTGACTAGTCTTAAACCAGTTCTGAGTAGTGAGACATCGGATCCATCCATCCTCCCAGTCGCTTGTCAGAACATGAAGTGATCGATCCCGTTGCTTCCGATAGCTGTATCTGCCTTGACAAAGCTGGCACCAGGCTGACTGAGAGCAAGGACGGCCTCCTCAATCACCACCAGGTCCTGAATAACCAGGTCCCCAGTTGTGGACAGCTGGAGTGGGCTTGGGTTTGTTTTGAAAAATAACAATTGATCATATATATAGTTCCTAGTAGCTTCTTGTTACTAGCAGCAATGCCAGGAGCTACTAGTAGCTTCTTGCTCCTAGTAGCGATGCCCTTCGTTACTAGTAGCGTCCTTCCACCAAGGTCAGATTTTGCGGGCCAAGCCCATTTGCAGTGCCCCGCAAAGCACTATCTGCTTTGAGGCCATCTTGCTCTCGTGTTCTTTTATTGGGCTGAAGACTTCTCTTGAAGTCCCAAAGTGTCCTTCATTTGTGGCACCATGATCATGAGGTTCCGGAAGTCCTGCACTCGCACAAAGGCTTCCGTTGGTATCTCAATAGGTCATGTGGAACGGCGCTGGACTGGACATGTAGTGGGCTGGCAAAGCTGTGGTCAAAGGCAAAATCAAGTCAGACAAGCCAAGCAAGCAAGCAACATCACGCACGTCAAGTTGATTTAGTGTTAAAATCCGCCCCCAATGCTTTTCAATAAACAAAATCAGTATGACGTATGATGACGTATGTGTATATATATATATACCATTGAATATACATACTTCTCAATGAATTGTCGCTTGGAGTGGCTCTGGCCTTGGTAGTGATGGTAAGCCGCCATTGCTGAACACCAGCCTGAATGAAATCGACACGTTCCTTGGAAGGCTTGGCCTCCGTTTCCTTCCCAGGATGAATTCTTGTCCGAGTCACAAGTGCAACGTCTGGAGGGCCGACAGCTTCAGAACACAGCGGGAACAAGTCTGACTCACTGGCTGGACAGAACCAGAAATTGACCCAACTGATCCCAAATGGTTCTCATGTGGCATCCTGGATGCATGGAGGTGTCCCGTCAACCGGAGGCAAAAGACAAAGGCAAAGCCTCTTGTTTGTCCCTTGGAGAACAATTTGGTCTCAGCCGCCCTCTTGGCGACGAACTTACAAAGACATACATCCGCTGAAAAATATACTCCTTTATCGAACAAATCAAGGACATTGAGTCCAGCAATAGCTAGCCCTAGAACAAGCATGAATCAGCACGGCTTTCAGAGCCCTTGCCTCTGATGTGACCCCCTCATACTCCAACTTCTCCACCAAGCCGAGGGGAACATCTAAGAGTTGCTTTTCAGCCACCCTCAGTGCTGGACTTTCTACAAATCATGCGAGAAGGCCGCTAAGGCATGTAACATCATGTAACACTACCTCTAGGATGGGTGACCATGATGATAACAGCGTCGAGGGAAACCACAATTGAATGAGTTGCATGTTCTCCCCGAATGAGATCTTCCCGCGGGCTCCTCCGCTCATATTCTACCAACAAGAAAAGAAGAGAAGTCACAAGAGGGAAACATGCAAAACTAATCAAAACTACGGACATCTTTGAAGTTAAAGACTGATTGGACCTCATTGCGCCAAGATTCCAAGCAAGCTTGTCTTTCAAGGTGCCTTTGGGCACCTGAAACTTCAGCCTGTAGTTGGAGATCAGCAAGCGACCCTGGCTGGAAGTTTTTTGCAACCCGGAATCTTCTTCCTATAACATCCTATAACTAATATCCAAAAACAGCAGCCTATCTCAGCATCCACAATCACAAGTTTGATCAAGTTTGTACAATCTCAGCACTTGGTCTGCCCAGAGTGCTCTGCTAAAGCTTTGCTAGGGTGCTTCGTATAGATTTGCTGATTTCCTGCTGATTTCCTCCTGCCCAGGGGCCAAGCCTGTAGCTCTCGAAAGGGTTTGTTGATTGGCAGAACCGATGGGCTGATTGAGTAATGAACCTGCCGGTCGGGCCGATCAATGCTTGGCATTGCGGTGAATCGCCGGAGTCATGCCTTCTCCCCAGGAAGGATGTCATCAAAGCCTGACATTGCAAAGCTTAGTTTAAACGATTTTGAGACTTTCTGTTCTGAACCGACATTCAAAAGAACAATTGACTGTCAAACGTGATGTTCATTTGCGAGAACTGCAAACTATATTACATATTATATGCCTTCGCTTGCTGCTGCATTTTGTACTGCAGTGGCTGGAATCCAGCAAAAAAGTCAAACGACAACAAAACAACAAAATGCCAGGCTGCGAATATCTTCGTTCGGTCGTTCCGACAAAGGTTTCACCGGCAGCTTGGGAATCTCCAAGCGCGAACCCTGCACCAAAAGGCACTTCGTGGTACGGCTGTGCTGCTCAAGAACTTGTGAAACAAACATCCTCGTTCCACGATCCGCAATTTGAGACCCTCAAAGTGTAAGATATTCCAGGAACTCACGGTGACTCACGGCGTTGCTAAGGCTTATAAGTTAGCCGGAAGCTTTGAATGGCAAGAAAACACTTGTAGTGGAAACAACAATGTTCGAAGGGTGCAAAAACTCAGCCAACGTGCAAATTGGCGATTGCAATCATACTGCTATATTTGCGGTCACGAGTTCCCGGCCAATTACAAGTGTCAATACTACACTTGGCTCGAAAAATACACTGGAAAGAATATTATTCTGCCAGCCTGAGATTTCAAAAGCTCCTTCGCTTCTTGTGCTGCTGCGAGGCCAGTCTTGAGATTGTCCTCAGCAACTCTGCAATTGCTTGTGCAAACTAGCAAAGGATGGAAACATAAATGCAATATACTACCATGTCTTGCTACTTCTACTCCGACTGCTACTCCTACTCCTACCACTAACTCTACTCTACTGCTGCATTGCTGCTGCTGCTGCTGCTCCTACTACTACTATATACTACTATATACTACTACTACTACTACTACTACTACTACTACTACTACTACTACTACTACTACTACTACTACTATGACTACCACTACCACTACCACTACCACTACCACTACCACTACCACAGCTACTACTACCACCACTACTACTCTTGTTGCTACTGCTACATTATACAGTAATTTCTGCAGCTGCAGCCACGGTTGCTAGTACTAGCTGTTACTAGCTACCGTCGACTTCGCTACTATGTGCTTTCCTGCTTCTCTTGAATCTCTGCAGAGACCCCACTGACCTTTTGTGGTTGCGTCTCCCTCCCTCTCTATTTCTGCTTGAGAGAACACTGTCCTGGAAGCCTATTCGGATAAGTTTGTTGGAAATGGTCTCTTGCGACCCCAAAGCCCGAAGCGATTCGTGACTTAGCCAAGTGTCTTTGACAACCGAGCCAACCTGCCACAGCGTGCCTGAACTCGAGAGGCTGCAAAATACATCAAAAACACACATGATCCAATCCAGGGCAAGTGACATCCCAGGACATCATGACTGTTCAAAAGTAGCACCGACAACGTCCGCATGCTTCCTGACTGTCACTGTCTCGAACGTCAGGCTGCCTAGCACCGATGACGAGTCTTTAGGCCTGGCGCACGTTTGGCTACCAGGCCAGGTAGGGTCAACCTATTTGCAAGTTGTCTTGGGTAATACCCACAGTCAAGTCAAGTGAAGTGCATTTCAAAACCAAAGGCACACTTTTGCTGGAAAAGTTTCACAACTGATTAGCGCAAGCAGAACAATCCAGCAATGCTTCAACTCTGAGATGTTCGGCCTTTCAGAGACTGGCTGAGTCGGCGGAGGCCGTGAACTTGATTCGCTGACTTGTGGCAATGTGAAGGGATCCTGGTGCTGGACAACCAAAAGAAAATACACGTCCCGGATTGCATTTCAACTGAATGGAGGTTCCAATCTTCAGCCGCTTGACTTCTTCCTTCAACCAAATATCTGCCCAAAAGCTCCGATTCCAATGAACTGCCCTTTACATCCCTTTACTACTCCAAGTCCTTTGCTCCGAGTCCAGTTCTCACAGACAAGTCTGAGGTTCCTTCAGAAGTCAAAAAAGGAGGAACCTTCAAATCTGATTGAGGGGCCGCTTGCAAACATTCACTTGTCCAACGATGGCAATTCACCCGATTCATCAACAAGGCTCTTCTGGCACCATCGGTGCAAATGGATCCCCTGCAGCGCCGAAGCACTTCTTCTCCACCTGTGGCGCGAGGTTTTCGCGCTGAAGAATCTCCGGTCTGGGACTTGGATCGTTCGCTCTACAGTGCTCGAGCACTAAGAATCTGTTTCGGTGCAACCTTCCAACTTTGATCTTTGAAACGGTGCAAAGACTCTAGGTGTGCTCTCAAACTACTACCTGGTCATGGCACACGCACACCCACACACATACCCACACTTCGAACTTGGGTTTTCAGTTAACGCAATTGCCACGTTGGGAAAGAAGGCGATAGAACAGCATGGCGAAAAGTCCGATAACTTGGAGGTGTTTCAACATTGAAAGTTATCATCTGCAGAAACACGCGAGCGACTGCGGTGAAAGGCTGCAAAAAAACGCGTGGCTGCTGCAAGTGGCTGAAAGGAGAAAGGTTTGGGGGAAGTATCATGAACCACCATGGAATCAAACAAAGAGAATTGGTACAGTTTGAGCAAGAGTTAGTCGCAGGTACACGGAGGTGATCAATCTCCGCATCCCCCATCGTGGAACAGCTTCGTTGGCACAGGTATCCACGATGGGCCTGTGCGCCCTGCCTGTGATGAATTCACATCAATGGAAAAAGAACGATCTCGGTGGTAGTGGAAAGGTGAAAAGGTGGAAAACCCTTAGAACCAGGGTGTGACACACACAACACGCCGTGATCGGCGCACAGAGCGATCGGTGGAAAGCGCAAGTCTTTTTTCTCAAAAATCGCCTGCACGCGTGCAGGTCATGCCCTTTTTGGGCGTAAAGGTGGACCAAAGCTTCAGCCGCAGCGGTGGCGTGAAGATGACAGTGAAGTCGGGAAATCCGTAGGCATGCAGTGAAGGATTAAAACTTGAAAAAAGAAAATTGACATGCATTGTAATCTCTGAACTGTGAGCATGCATGCATTGATCATCGGTCAAATGGCTGCGGGTGGGAAATTAAAGTTGGAGAAAACGTCGCAATGTACAACACAAACGAAAGTCGGAGCGTTGGGTGGGTAATTCCTCGCTTATAGCCTGGCGGCTCGAAAATAAGGGAATTCAGGGAAAATTGGAAAACCGTGGAATCAGTTATGAAAGTGGAAAAACGGTGAATTCCGGCATGGCGTCGGCGCCCCACTGAAGGGGATCACACCCAGTACCCGAGTGGGAAGACTGAGCGAGTCACACTTCGAACTTGGGTTTTCAGTTAACGCAATTGCCACGTTGGGAAAGAAGGCGATAGAACAGCATGGCGAAAAGTCCGATAACTTGGAGGTGTTTCAACATTGAAAGTTATCATCTGCAGAAACACGCGAGCGACTGCGGTGAAAGGCTGCAAAAAACCGCGTGGCTGCTGCAAGTGGCTGAAAGGAGAAAGGTTTGG